TCCAGGGTCTGGGAACTTTCTTAACAGAACACAGTCGACAACTCTCAGCTGATAGCTTGATTCCTTCCCTTTCCGACATGCTGAAGTCACCGTTTGCCGAGTCTCGACAAACGTCGATTTCGACGTAGCATTCCTGTCACTGCAGCTTCCCCGAAAAAACAGAAGCTTGGCTCCGTGGAACTTGTGTCATGTCACGTTCAGAGTCGTCCATGCCTGCATTTGGTGACGATGGCACAGGAATCTGGAGATCTGCTGACGGAGCCTCAACTGCCAGACGCAGTCGTTAGCATGCGAAACAAGTTGGCGATCTAAGAGTCCCGCAGGGCGCTCCAGCAAATAACTTGCTGCCAGCCTTTCGGAGCATTTCGAAGATGACTGATGGGTGGGAACAGGGGAGCTGACAAGCCGGGAGCACCCTTCCAGATCTCTGTTGCGCTGTGCTAATTCCTGGTTCCTGTCCCCAGGGAAGGCGATCTCTCGAAATTCACGCGGGTAGTTTATCTGGATAGCAATCGGAGGCAAACGTTTCCTGATCCTCAATTCTGCGAGCTCGGCTCGCAGGGATGCGGACTCGCCCATGTCCTCCTGGCAGCGCTCTCCGACGGGCTTTGCGATAACTTACCTTCGGACTTCGGCTGATCTTCCTCCAAATTGATGGCGCGGAAGGCCCGTTGCTGCGCGTCCTGTCAGCAGGGGCTCAAAGCACGGCGAAACCGACCTTAATCCACGCTTGCCGTCCTAGCCTTCAGATCACGCCGCGTGATGGACATCTCCGCGTGCATGCGCTGCTCGGACCGTCTGCGCCCAAGCTGTTGCTGGTCCTGCGAATGTCATGTAGGACCAGCAGCGAAAAGTTTATGCTGTTATGCTTTGCATCCTTGTCTGAGCTGGCTTGCCGATTCAGGAAGGGCTCCAGCAGGTTGAGGGGAGGAGGCCTCACGTCTCACGTCAGGCTTTCGTTGCATGCCAGTACAGCAAATTTTCAAGCGACCATGCATGGCCAAGACTACAATGCCAACGTTGGCATGAAGTCAGGTTTTCTGTCGGAGCGGCAGGATGGACTCATGGTCAAACTCCAGCACTGCCTCCACCTGGCGACATCTGATTCAGACTTTGCATACCACATGACAGCTACCAGTAAGAAGGCTGAGGCATCCACCCGGAAGAATGCCCAGGATGTCTGAGACACCGCCTTTTGGAGGATGCGAGCAGCTCGCGTGCTTTGGACTGAAAGCTACCCCGACCTGGTTCTGTTCGTAAGTGCTGTTCATGACAGCAATGAGCAGATTCACGAGGAGCCTGAGCAGTGCTTTGCTTGAGTGCAACGCGAGTTCAAGAGACATGAGGAGCAAGTCGGTTTTTCTTTTGAAAACACAGCCCAGCTGCCGTTGGTCAGCTATCCTTCCAAGGCTCGCTTCCAGTGGAAGCAACTTCAAAACTTGCATCTCCGTTCGTGTGCAACGCAATCGCACTCGCCCCTGCTTGACTGCAAAGGCTCGGGTACGAAATCTGTGTTTTTTCAATTGATCGCCCCTCCCTCCCGCAACCCGCACAGGTGCCGTTAAACCAGTTCGAACAGCCCAGATGGCTCAGACGATCAAGTCCTGAGTACTGAGGCAGCCACACATTACAAACCAGGGCCAAGGTGTACACCAAGATGTTGGCAATAAACCTGCAGATCCGAGGTCTGGAAAGACCTGTTTCTGCGTCCCTGTCTCTCCCGCTCAAGTCCGTTTCCCGGTCTGTCTCACAGTAAAGCGAGTTTGCCATGTGGCCTGACATTGCGCTCCTCGATATCGTTATTTCGTTTGCTCGTCTCTTGGCTTGAACTGATGCTGGGGATCTTCTCCCAAGTGCTTTTTGTTGCTCGTGGCTCACAGCGCCACATTGCGATTTTGCACTACGCAAGGGAGCCGAGTGAGTCGAGTGCATGGCCGACCTCCTGGCCATCCTGCGGCCTGATCTCCTCTCCAGTCCCATCGGGTCGCTTCTGAGAGTTGCATCCAGCAGAACCCATCGTTGCATCATTCTCGGTATATGGCAATCTTGTCTTCTTCGTCCCGAGTAATTATACCCATCACGGCCCCCATTACACTGGGCGGCGAGATGCTAAAACAGAGGTACCGCAAGCAGAGTTTCCCATTTACGCAAGATCACTTCAGAAGCACCCTCCACATCTCAGGACCCTTTCTCCCTGGAACCCCTGGTCATTCGCAAAAGCATTGACTTGCTCCTTCCCATTCATATCCTGATCGCAGCACATCTATACATAAGTTTATGTATATAATAACTACATGATATAGATAGTAGCCCCCGCCCCATGGCTCTACCGTTTTTCCTCTTCGGGAGCATCTTGCGAAGGTGGAGTTTCAACGATCTGGGACATTGGAGCGCTACATCTCCATACTACAAGTAACTCCGTGAGGACAAGACAAGGGGCACCCTTTCGATCAGCAGGACAATCAGACCCCTTGCTTGCTCCAAACCTTTGACGAGAAAGCACCTCACCTTGTGACCGGTGTCAACGAGTCGAGCTTGTTCAAGGCTTTGTCGTCCAAGTTTCCAACGATGGTCCAAAACGCCCAGGTAAGGCCCTGCAGCCAGACGGGCGTAGACAGCAAAAGCCTCGAAGCCGCAGCGACGCATCCTACGCCAGGCCTGTTCATCCCGCTCCGCACTTTGTGTGAACAGAATCGGGGTGATGGCACAGCTGAACCTCACAGGCTCCGTCAAGGAATTTGACCTTCATGTCTTCCTGGAACTCCAAGGTTTGGGGGTACCGACCCGAAGCAGAAGATGACGACCAGAATGAAGAACTTCACCGCATCCTGGAACAAACGGGTAGACTAGCTGCTCTTCTTTTAACTTCAGTTTCAACCTCTAGCATTCTTACTCTAGCACGCAAAGCCCCTTCCGCGCAACCCTTCCGCAGCCGTCCGCGCCTTCGCGAATTGGCACGATTCTAAGTCACTGCGCGTTGTCCCTTCCACGCGCGGTTCCGCAGACCGGTCGACCGCTTCGCAAGTGACCCCTCCGCAAGAGCAAAAAACACTCTAACTTCTTTCTATTCTACAGGAACATCTTGGAGCAACGAATCCAATTCAATTCATGTAGATGTACATATGCAGTGCCATCTGTTATTGCGGAGCCATTGTAACCTGCAGCACCGTAGCCAGGGAAACGCCAACAGCTCGGTTCATCAGCCGGGCTTCAGGGAATTTGTGATACACAGTTGCAGGTGAACTTTGGGTCTTTTGGTATTAGGCTCCACAATTATGTCTGATCACATCTGGCCTTCGCCATCCCGAAGATGGTGAGGAGCAGCGTCCCAAAGTACTCCGACTGCTGCAAGATTTGCAGCACTCGAATCCAGCCTTCGACAGGTCTTGATACAGGATGCTTGGGTTCTGCACACTGCACTGCCCTGCACCACACCCTTCAGCCCTCTCCGTTTGCGAAGCGAGGGCCACACAGGGCAGCAAGTTCATGGCGTGGGTGACCTCTAGCAGGTGCTCCACCTGCCAAAAAGAGAGCTCCGCAATGTGAATCGATGTGATGGATCGTGGCCGCATCGAAAGGGCATGTGCTGCCGCCTCGTTCATCTCTGAGTTGTTGTCCGTCAGCAGCACTCCAAGAACGAGACATCCCAGTAGCACAGTGATGTGCCTGGACAAGTCAACAATCCGCAATCCATGGTCTCGAGCGCAACAAGCCAAGGAGCAAGGAATCAAGAAAGTTCCAGAAGTCGTGGATGTACGCCTGCATGTTAGAACGATTAAGGTTTGAGGTTTGCAAGATCTTGAACCTGAAAGCTCGCTGCAGCATGAAACAACTTAGCCCCTCAACTATGTCGAACGAAAACCAAAAAATATGTATGCTCTACCGCCTCTACCCCGTCATTACTCGGCTCGTCGCATTCAGCCCTCTGAGTCGCTCATGTTCCCAACGTGTTGTGCCACAGATAAAAACAAACAATGCAACCCACAACGTACAATCTGCACTGAACGGCGGCCAAACAAGTAGATGCTGGTAGGAAAGTAGGCAGTGGCACATAGAAAGTGATTTCACTGTGCATTTAGTCTTCAGTCGCTTTGGTGTAACCACTGAAACATCAAGATTGTGCCCAGGGCAATGTCGGCAGCCTGGAAGCCATTGGACTGCAGCTGCTTGATCTCCACTTGACCCAGGCCCAAGCCCCAGAGGAACAGCAGCACCTGCCATGGTCTGCAAGACTGTGAAAACAGCGTCGAAGCGCACGGCAAGATGACCTCCACAAGGCTCACACCACTGAAGGTCAGTAGCCTCCATGTTGAACTCACGTTGACACCGGTTCGCCGGACACATTGAAACTAGAGACTGATCCACAGCGAGCCTGTAGAACACTGCGTAGGAGTAAAGGCCGACCTTTGATTCCGTGAAGCGTGAAGCCTTGTGGAAACATGCCGCTCTCCTCCTTAACGAGACTACATCCTCTGATTTTGCAAATTGCTGCTTTACGGATGGCTGAAGCCAACCGCACCAGCCCTCACCGCTCAGCATATGCAAGTGCACCGTCATGTACGGGTTTCTTTCCTCGTCGGATACTCTGGATTGCAATCGTTGTTACTTCCTCATGCAGTATTAGCTCTTCATTTCTGCTTCCAGCTCTGTCTGTGTGTTTGCAAGCCAGGCCCTGAAGAGACGGCGCTCCGCGATTTCGCTTCAGTCCAATGTCAGTCGACTTCCCTCCGCACTGCTCAGCACCTCTGTTTAGCTAAACCGTAAACCCTGAACCCTAAACCCTAAACCCTAAACCCTAAACATCCCTAAACCCTAAACCCTAAAACCCTAAACCCTAATGAGGAAATGACGGAGAAGGGGGCAATCACCGAGTGGCGCCGCAAAGTCATGATCGACCAACAGGCCCACAAGGAGTTGGCCAAATTTCTGGGTCTCCAGTTTGGCCAACTCCTTGTGGGCCTGTTGGTCGATTCCTGCACGTAGCCACGTGCAGCCTGTAGCCGGAGCCATCTTTCTGGATCGCCACCTTTGTCCCAGTGGTAAACCAAAGCCAGCTTCCGGAAGGCTGCTTCGACCTCCTCGCTCTTGCCGGGGACGGATTCCAGCTCCAAAAGCTGAAGAGCTTCTGCAAGGCTCTTGGGTCGCAGAACTTCGGTCGGTCTGGCAGCCATGGCGTCTGGAGACAAACTACTCAGGGAAGCTTTGGGATGCCTCGGTGCTGAAACGCCTGCACGAGTAACAAATCTTGTCAAGTTCTGGTCGGCTCACGCTCCCTGATATTGACCCAACGTTATCCTACGTCCCTTCTTGCGGAGAGGTGCAAAGATTGCGCGAGCTAGTCCGTGCGTCCAAGCCTGCGGCGGTCATGAAATGACAGGCGCAGTTCTGCCTCGCTCAACTGCTGAATCATCCGCCTGGATGGAAGGTATGGAGAGGAACTCCCAGAGGGGAAATCCGCAAGCCTCTTGCGAGTCGCAAGAGCTACAGCAACAGCTACCGCAACAGCTACAGCTAATTGCGCTTCACGGCCGGCCCGAGCCTTGAAGTTCCAGAGCAGACTAAGGAAGGGCCACCTCAGGCGCTCGGCAGGCTTGGCAGGCCAGCATCCTGGCCGGCCCGAGGCCCTCGCCATCGCAGGAACTGCGCGTCGAGCTGCTTCCTTTTGGCTCGGCAAGCATCTCGCTTTCAAAGCGAAGGCTTCAAGTCAAGACCCCGGCTTGTTGATCTGGAAGGGGACTGGCGTCATCCAGTACAGGTCCACTGCCAATCGATAGAAGGTCGCCGACACGAAGGCCTTGCATCCTGCGAGACGGGACTTCAAAAAAGAGACCATTGGTACGAGTACCAACTCACGCTTTTCTACAGCCCTGGCCTAGCTCATGAGCGAGCTTGAAGCAGGTGCGCCCTTGTCCGCCCACCTTTTTCGGGACCGAAGTGCCTGGGCCTAGGCGAGTGAGGCCGTGCCTGCCATCTGGCAGACTCACGGAAGAGGTAGTCCACACCTGTCCATCGCGCTTCGCTGCACATGCCGGGTCGTCAAAGCATTTCGCTTGACAAATCACGGCCTTTGCCAGACAAAGCGAGGTCCTCAAGAACGAGACACGCCAGCCTGAGGGCAGATGCAGATGCGTGTGGACTGGCTACTTTTGCCACGACTCCGCCTTTCGAAACGGTCTGCTGCATCATCCAGCTCTTTCTTGGCCAAGCCATCTTGGTACCTGCACTAACATTCTCGAACAAGTCTGCAAGGGCTTCATCACTCTGCCCCCAGGAGCACGACGCATAAAAGTGTTCCCTTTCAGCGGTGTCTCGGCAGGCGGACGCTGCCACCAGTGCAGCATGCACAGGATCCTGGACAGAAACCATGCTTGCCTTCAATGGGCGGCCATCGCGGAGGCTCCTCCATGTAGGACCAGATTGTTTCCAGTACCGAAGATGGAGCCTCCTGAGATCAGACAGACTTGCAGCTCTGCTCTGCGATCGAATTCCCAAGCCTTCTCAATGGACCACAGGAGGAGACCCTCCAAGGACTTCCACGACTCCTGGTTAGCATCTAACACAACAGAAAGCTCCCGCTGTCGAGAGGTATTTCCGGGCCAATCGTGGCTCAGCACTCTCGTAGCACTCAAGCTCGTGTCTCAGCTCTTCTTGGGTCGCCTGGAAGCCGAGGCGGCTCCAGTGGACGCAGGGCTTGCCTTCCTTTTCTGGAGGCAAGGTCTCGGAACTGACCTGGCTCAGCATCATAGCACACTGAAGCGTTAAGTCAGTCTGAAACCTCGAACTGGTCCATCTGCTTCAAGTAGTGCTGCAGAAGCCACGTCACCAAAACGCCTCAGACTCCGCTGCCATGTCACGGCGTGAAACTCGCAGACTCGGAGCAAGTTGGTCGCTGATACATTCCCACTCATAGAATCACAAACATCTGGACTCTCGATGCCTGTCTGGTCTTACGGCGGCCTGCATTCTCACGCACGCTGCGCACCAGCGTGATGGGCGTCCTGGCCTTGGCGCACCAATGATCGCCCGCGGGTGCTTCAAGCGGCATCTCTTTGGCCAAGGCATCCCGGGAGCCGAATCCGACGAGTTCCTTGAAGATGAGCCGGATGGCCTGGGACACCGATGCTTCCCGAGAGTCTCTAGCCATCTTTGTCCTCAGTTAGGGCCGGGGCTGCTTCGGGTCCTCGCTCGGAACCACCTCTCTCCTGAACCAGCCTCCACAGAGCATTGCATGGCATTCCCACAGCTTGCAAGCCCATGTTCCAGCTCTCGCCCACACCTCTGGCCCAGGCGGTCGTAGTAACCCTCACCTTGAGGGTAGAGTCTCAGAGGCACAGTGGCAACATATCCTCTAATTCCTCTTATCACTAATCCTCTTTATGGCACTGAGCCGCCTTCCAGCAACAGAGCATGGCTTGTGATTAGGCCAGAGTCTGAGGCAATAGTTTCCCCCTTTGTCTGAACGTCTGATCGCCCAATCTGTCCGAGGACCCTCTCTAGCCCTGGGCTCCGGCAGCCCCACTGCACTGCGAGGGAAAGCTGCTGCCTGGCGCTGCCCACATGATCCCAAGTACAATTGAGTTCTGAACTCAGGTGCAGCGCTGCGCAAGGGCTTTGATGTGCTAGCAGGAGTCTCCTGCATTACTACGATGCTGCGTGTTGACTGGGCATAGACTGGCCGACCAGCGGGCAAACATGCCGGGATGTCCATACACCGACATTCTCTCTAGACCTACTGGCACACATAGCGATGGCATTGCCCAACACCGCCCGCAACACCACGTCCTGATACGGCATGTGACATCCCAATCGAAAGGTTTGAGCTTCCAGCGGACCTCGAAGCGATCGTTGATGGTGTAAATTTCCACCATCTGGCTCCGGACCTGGCCGTGCCAAGCGACGCTTCTGCCTACGCGTCCAAGGCTTCGAGTTCCAGGCAATGCTCTGGAAGTTCGCCACATCCTCCGGGCTCAGGGTGTCCTTTGGCATGAACTCCTGCCATGTGCACCGCGACTCTCACATCATCCACAACACAGCAGACCAGCCCCACCGCTTCCTTCACGGCGAGGTCCAATGCCTGTCGGAACTGGGCGTCTTCATCCTTCTCCGCTTCCGAGCCACTCTCCTGCACAGCCAAATCCGATCTCGTGTTCTTCTACTTGTTCCGTTGCGTCAATGTGGCTGAGCCTCATTAATCTCGTCATCTGTGTCTGCCACGCACGGCTTCTCGAGGATCCGGCAGATGACATCCGCAATGCGGCCAGTTCCTGGAACCGGGGCTATGGGAAGGCGGCTATGAATTTCTCTTGCAGACAAAATCCTGCCTTGGCAAACCACGAGAGGGCAGCCGGTGTTGATGGCCTACAGAAAGAATGGATGCTGGAACGGCTGCCTGCTCAGACTGCGGCAGCGACCTGCACCAGCGAAATCAGCGAGATCTTGCCACCGTTCACCAAAATCATGACCTGGGCAACGCAAGTTGAACAGTGGTGTGAGTCGTTCAAGGCCAACCCCGGCAAGGTCTGGGTGCCGCACGCGTGGAACTCGAGTTCGCAGGCCGCCGGCGTTCACGCCCTGCCGGTGTCTTGACCACTGCAGCGTTCTGCGGTCCTTCTCTTACAGTAAACGCTTTTGCGGTCCCTCGTCACGAACTCTTCGAACTTCGTGCCTTGGCACTGCGTTCACATGTTGGGCTGAGTCTTGTCAACGGCACATTGCGAAATTAGCCCGTCGCGGAATTGGATCTCGGTACCGAAGGCTTTGCTTCCGACCTGTCACGGACACAAGTCTGCATCGCATCGTCAAATATTGTCAAGCCAGATGCGACGACCAGTTCTGCCATGTTCTGCCTCGCCGTTATCACAGATGATGAAGTGGGAGTGGTTGTCCTGGCAGATGGCTCTCACATGCTCTCGCTTCCATGGGAAGTCTCTGCACCGACTCAGTCCTGGAGAGCCGCCAATGGAATGTTTCCATCGGTTTCTGGTGGCGCCCCCTCTGCAGGCTTTGCGGCAGCAGCATCCACCTGCAAAACGCATCGAAACGCAACCGGCGCAGATGCTGACCGGGACAAGCTCCGGCTGGAACGGGACCTTTGTCGCAGCGGAGAAGTCCGGATCCTCAAGAGCTGGGAGTGTAGGTGCCTACCCCTTTCCTCTCACTTTGGGACCCTGACGTAAGCTGAATTGATGAGGTCACGCCATTTGCACGTGAGCGCTCCTTTGAACTTGATAACGATGGTATCTCGTCTGAGCTCAAAGAGCATCTGAGATTGCCGCCGTAGGGAGTGATGCCAAGGCACGGGACCTCAGAAGCCGATGTACTAAGAGGAGTCAGCGAAGACGTACAGTAGAGGACGACGACGATGACGACAGCGCGCCTGGCGCTGCTTGTCGTGCCTCTGCATTGCCTGAGCCAGGAGAGTGTTGGCCCGGCAGCGACGAGGCATGCACTGGCCTTGCCGACGATGTCCATCACTCCACTAGCGGTGCCACCCGTTATCACCCAGCCAGAGGTGCGAGTGGCCGCCTTGACAATTTCACCCTTCTCCATGATCGTGCTTCGACCCGCTTCGACCCGCCTCAACCAGTCCCTGTGAGAAGCCCTCAAGGTCGAACTTGTCGGGAGGCAAGTTCATGTTCCCTGCACCTGCAGCAAGGGCGGCAGTCGGCAGGTAGAGATGGTTGAGGCACATGTGCAAACCTCCCATAATAGAGAGGATGAGGTTGGGATTTCGAAGACCCCATTCCTCAGCACGACGATATTGGGATGACCCGATTCGCCGCAAGACCACATGCAGCCGGGGCTTTACATGGCAAGACCCTCTGGGGAGCTCGCGGGCTTCACAACCCGCTCCAACATCTGCTCTGGAAAGGCTGCGTGGGATATTAAGCAGTACCTCGGACCATTCTAGACGCTACTAGCACAGAAAGCAGAACAAAAAACCTACTCCGGTCACTGGGAGGAGCCGCTATCAAAGGCGATCTCTGCGATGCCCTGGAAAAGAGCGCAACTTCAACAGCCGTTCCGACTAGTCAGAGATGGACTTAGGTCGCCGGCAGGGCGATTCCTTCCCGGTGGCATGAGGGAGGCCTCTCACGGGCTGCTGTGACCAGGCTCGGGATGCACATCGCAGAGCCGTCTTTCCTCGAGATCTTTGTCGCACTCCGATGTGGCTTGTGCCACATCCTCTGCCACTCGGGTCCTTTCAGATTTTTTATGCGCGCAGAAGGATGAAGTACACCCGTACCGTGGCGAGCCTGATCAGGGTCGGCCTCACGGCCAGAGCTACTCTCGACACTGCCGACCGGAACCTCAGAAAGGAGCACGAAGCCGACACAGAGTTTTAAGCAAGCCGCACTGAGCATAACCCCTCCTTTTGGGAAGCGTGCTTTCGGGCCACCCCCGTCGTCTCCGGTGGCAGGTCCTTGTCCTTGGAGTCCCAGGGCGACTGTACGTGATCTGCTTGGACCTTGGAGTCCACTTGACCCTGAGATCGGGACCCCAGTCTCCGCAGGCAGACTTGTGGCATGCGGGATCCCAAAACCCTCCGTAAAGGTTCTGGCTCTCGTCCTGCCATCAATGCAATGGCCATGTCCGATCCTGTTCAGATCTGAGTGGCCCACACTAACTTGTTGTTTTTGACGGTTCTTTTCCTCCCTGTGACAGACAGTTGGAACGCCACGTCGGCTAAACCCTGTTTCGGGAATGCCTGCTGCACCTAAATGAAGCACCTGATGAACCATATAAAGAAGATAACCGCTGCAGCACTCCCGTAAACAAGCAAGAGCGTTCCACCACAACCCAGACGCCAGATCCGAAGTTATGTCAAAAATCACCCACAGTCAAAACACCGAAACCAGAAATCTTTGCAGCCTAGAGCCTTTACCCTCGAAGCGATGACAAGGATCGGCAAATGCCATGATCTGCCAGTATTGCTCTAGCCCAGGCCGCATGTAACGGTCGCTCATCCCCGTGAACAGTGCAAACATCTTTATGTGGCAAACTCGTCGGGAATGCGTCTTGGAATCAAGGTGGTCCTGGGCTTCGATTTGCTCCACAGGTGCAGTGTAGCAGCTTCCTGTTTCTAGGGGTTGTGCTGTAGCGCTCTTCTTGAATATCCTTAGGCAGGGTGGAACGCTGTGGAAGAAGTGCAAACATCTCTGCATGCACTCAGCCTCTAAGCACCAAGCTTCTCATCGTTGCCGGGCGTGTCAACAGAAGTTTCTGTTGCACTTCGACGACGCTGGCATCGGGAAACGCTTGAACCAAACCGACTTTCGCGGTGGTCTTAGTTGTCTTCTAGGGACACATAGTCCATGTCAGGCGAAGGGTGCGACAAGCGAGCAAGGACGGCCAACTTTCCATCTGAGACTTGCGGCATGACACCACGGAGCCATCAGTCCTGCCATGCATGCTGCCAACATACGACGATCCTACTCAGAGCGTGAACGCGGTTTGTCGGCCTCCAGCGTTCTCCACGAAGCGAAACTAATGTTTGCAGCAGATAACTGCGCTGTTCTGGTAACTTGACGGCTATACATAAGTGCTGCTTTTGAGTTGAAATTAAGCTTAGACTGCACTACTGCATGCGAGGCGGCCAAAAGCTTGTCTCAGATTGCATTAGAGGATGAGAACGACGCCAAGCGACACACACATGACATGATCGCATAAACTGGTCCCTGTCGTTGGGTAGAGCGAGTGCTTGCTGATTACCTGGACCAGGGCATCCTCCATGTTTCGAGCAGACAGATTGCTGAGCACCGATAGGATGTGGTTCAGCTTCAAGAAAGCATCAGAAGCTCGCGAAGAAGGGGCTCTCTGGCAGAAGGTCACGGCCATTTCTTTCCAGTGGCCAGTCCATGAGTCTTTGGCACCCTCCGCTCCGAGGATCAAGAGACACCAAGCGGCAGAGACAAGCTGAGAGAAGTGATGAGGCTGGGCTTGCGTGTGCTCCCAAGTCTCCGGCTTGGCAAAGATGGCGGCACGAAGAAAGTGCATACACCGGACACTCAACTCTGAGTCACTCTACCCGGGGATGAGAGACATGACAAACCTGAGTGGAAACGGTCTGGCCTTCTTTCCTTAGCAAGCTTCTTAAACTTCCGATACGCACTGCACTTTTATCTCATCCCCGCTGGCCATCCTTCGGCAATACTACACATCGTGCAAGTCGAGTTGTGCGATCTTCTCTCCAGGCTGGGACCCGGACAAAGGAGGCTGTGCTTAGTTACGCAACATGAAGACCGCAAGACTGCTAGTAGCCCGCGTGCACAGACAAAAATGGTACCATGTGCCCCGTCTCTTCTGTCCCGGATAAAGATTAAAAACCAGCTGTAATTGATACCTGCGAAGTATCGTTCGAATCATGTGTCCGGGAAAACTCAGAAAGCCTTAAAGCACATGACCAGCAACCGTCACAAAATCAGGTTACAGCACAGTCGGCCAATTCAAAGCCTCAAAAATCGAACAACGCGTAGCTGGCAGAACAGCTCTTCCTGTGCTGGACTTGCTTTCAGACTGGTACCAGTACTGAGGCTGCCACCAAGCCCTTGGCCTCAGTAATCCTGGCAGCCATGCAGTTCGTAGTTCATTTTCGCACTTGCCTCAGCCTTTTCCGAAAAAGACTCAACGAAGCCGGCAGGGCGTCAAAATCCTCCTCCCCATCGTCGGCATCGTCATCCTTGCTGTCAGCGTCGACGACCACCTGAGTACAGGCCAGCACGGAGCTGCTGCTGCCGCATCTTCCCCTTCATCACCACCATCATGCAGTTGTCCCTTTCGGCCCCTGGCACACTCGGTAGTCAAAATCATGGCTGCAATGGAGGTTGCATTCTGCAGGGCGGATCGGGTGACCTTCAAAGCATTGCGCTGAGATAAGTGATCAGCCGGCTGTCTCACATCAAGCCTTCGCCGGATCGATGATGCCCCGCCTGAGACGCCCACGAACTCTTGACGTGGAGCAATCAACGTTCGGTCAAGTTGCTCGAGCATATCCGCATACTCCAACATCAGCGCATCAAAGCCTGCTTAGAATCAGATTCATGTCCGCCAACACTTGTCAGCCGAGTCCAGTCAGTCCTTGCTTCGTGTCTGCGGTATCTGCAACCTGTCAGTCAATGCGAGAAACACTCTGCCTTGAAAACTCTTCTTTACAGATAGCTTGGCGAAGTCAAGCAGTAACTAGGATGAGTGCGATGTCTACACTAGTTCTCTCCAAACACAAAAAGAAGAAAGCTGCACGAGAACGCTTTGGTCAAAAATACCAAGAAATTTCGAACTGGCGGTATCAACCAAGCCAGCCGCTAAGGATGCTTTTTGTACTGGGCCGACACGACTTCACTACGAACTGCCGACGCGATTCCGCCACAAAGGGAAAGGGCTGGCGGCGTCGCGGGAATGTTTATGAGGTCGTAGAAACCGTGTTGACGAAACTGCACCTGCAAACCGGCGATGTCAATGCGAACCAGAATTGGTTCAATCTTTCTCCCGGCAAACTATTGGCCAAACTTCCTTATGCGAAGGTGCGACTTGACCAACACAGGGACCACTCGTCTATCAAGGCGGGGCACAACCTTTTACCGGAGATCAGCGTGCAAGGTGAGAGTCTTCCAGCATTCAGACTCACAGGGTTTACGAAAGCTTCTGACGGCGACAAAAAATCACAGACGAAAGGTGCCATCAAGCACGGCCTGAAGCGAAAAAATCAGTTCACATGACGTCGTGCGTATGCAGCGTGCCTTTTCAGCAACGAGCTCGCCATTTTGGCCAGAGTTTGCCTGGCAAGCTGCCAGCGGAGTCTTCGACGCATGACGCAGGCTATCGCAGGCTCAAGCGCAATCATGCTGGCCGAACCGCAATGCGCTTGAGAGGTGCGCTCATGGAGTCGGCAACGATGAGGGCACCCTTCAGCTCGTCCTAGACACGAAAGCGCCACGTGGCATCCGCCGGGTGGAGCGCTGTGCTGCTCGGTGCGCCTCTGAGAGATTCTCCGGCGCCCACGATCGCAGCGCTTGCGAGAGGTGGCACCTGCTGCCAACCACAATCAGGTCAGGCAGTGTCCTTTCTGCTTGTCACGGAAATCGCGGACAGCCGAGGCAACGACAGAGCTGCACCGCCGCCGGGTACGATGCCTTCATCCACTGCGGCCTGCAGCTCACTGCAGCTCTAGGGGCCAACGAGCAGAGGCGGACAAGGAATTTCTGCCTTGGTCGCATTGATCGCATCTTCCAGTCGGAGCTTCTTGTCCTGGCAGTGGTGCACCACCGCGACTCCGACTTCGAGCAGGGGCGCTGGTGTCCTTCAACTCAGTCTCCGTTGTCGCACCAACCTGCAGCCACATCGGTACACTTGCTTTCGCCTTCGCACCGCCAGGTCGCCGCCTTGATCAGGGCAACGCCGCCCACAAGCTTGGCGAGGCGCTTCTCGAGCTGCTCCTTCGTGTAGCTGCTCTTCGTCTCCTCGATTTGCCTGATCCAGAACGCTCTGCCGTGCGAACAAAAGCCGACTTGCGTGGAACCTTCGGAGCTGCTCGCAGCGCTCTTCCAGAGCCTCTGGACGTGAGTCTGCTGAATGCCCGAGCTGAGGCGTTCACGGGCCTCTTTGGGTGCATCTGCCACAATTGTGGTCGAGTCCTTCCCGAGTGACGCTTGCAACTTTGAACTGAAGCTGCAGCTGGTCCTTGCCCACGGATATTCGGCGGGCTGAGCCTTGCTTTGGCTCCGCGGCGGGTACTTCCAAGCAGTTCGGACTCTTGGAGTCCAGCCGAAGTCCTCGGCCGTGATGGACTCCAACTTGCGCCCCAGGTCCTCTGTGATGTACCTGAGAACATCTGAGAACTCTGACGTCCCCCCATGTCCCTCTCGGGCTGTCTCAGGCATCGGCGTGGCGTTGGTCACCAAGGCAATGTCCTGCAGCGCGCTTCGGCTGCATATCATGCCACACACCAATCCTCACAACATTACCAGCTTCCGCTTCATGAACATCCAGCTTTGCCACGCCTGCAGAATGGCCTTTCGGTTGTCACCGAAACCGGGTGCTTGAATCGCACCTTCTTCGGCACCGCAGCCCAAGTGGTGCTCACAGCATCTTTGAACTCAGGTGATCTGACGACTCAGGCTTCAGCAGCAGTCGACAATGCCTCGAATTTTGTTTACGATCAACGTCGCCAGCACCTGAGAATTTGATTAAATCCGGCGTGCTGAGCCATTTCAGCAAGAGCCCCCTCGCCTCTTTCTCGATGGTGTCCGCCACGACAAGGAGTGGCTTAGACATCTGCTTTGCAATGGTCAAGATGGGGATCAACTCCTGCAGAAAGAGAGGCAAGCAGCGGCAAGCAGCGGGCAGCAGAGCAAGGCAAGGCTCACGGCGGCTCCTGTTGGGCCATGGAGATCTTCTGGTCCGTGACCAGGACGAGCGGTGCATTCCTCTGGACAGTTCACAAATGTCCAGCTGTCGACCATGCCAAGCCTGCAAGCCACCTAAACACGTGGCTGAGCTCCGAACGCTTCCCAAGTTCGGCTCGTCGGGTTGGATGCATCGAGGCACAGGTACGGAGACAAATATCCCTGAGAGGGCAGGGCAGCCCACGAATTTCATTGCAAGAATGCATACCAACACTCCGGCCTTGTCCAAATTCATTCCCTCCGTCAATTCTACTTCGGTAGTGGTCGACTGGGACCTACAAGGAACGGTTCTGCACTCTGTCGAGATGCGTCCTGGCGTGTGGGCCGCTGGCTCCTCCAAAGAGATCACACCACTTCCACCGACCTCGCAGAAAGGTGCGGCTGAAAACGAAAAGCCTCTTCGGACCAATAACCGCCCCCTCGCGTGCTTGTGGCATATGTGCGCGCGATTCGTCGTAGACAGCTGCGCCTTGGCCATGGCGTCTGCAATCATCTTCCCCGCCTCGGCACGCTCTGCAGCCACGAGGAGATGAGATGCTGTGGTGCGGCCAATGGCCTCGTCGTCTCCACCCGCAGAGATGGCTCCCACCTTAGACGGGGGAGCTTTTGTGTCAGCTCCGATGCGATAGAGAGCGAATGTGACCCGACATCCACGACACCGGGAAAGCTCCGGGAAAGACAGCTGGGAAAAGTCCGTCGGGTTGATCAAGGATTATTGATTTTATGTGTTCGAGTCTACGATATGGGTTATGTTGTTGTTTCACACGTGATTTGCCTATGTCTTGTCAGGTGTTTCGGATTTCAAGGCTAAGGACATTTTATCCATATGACGTCCGTTGTGTTTTCGGGAGTTAGGACACAGGATCAACGGATCTATGAAAACATCCGACACATCGACCACGGGATTTGAAGGGCGTCGGGGTTTTCCTCAGATGCAGTGATCCAACATTTGAGGTGCAGAGCCCACGGCAGTCAGCTCGAATGCAGAGGAGTGCAGCTGAGATACACATCTAACGATACCCCGAGTTGGATGATTACACTGGGGCAAGACCTTGTAACATTCACATGCTCCGCGACTCGGTTTCAGATGCACCCTCGGTAGTCTCGCCATCGGCTTCATCACGCGATATCCAACACAGAGCACGGGCGCCCCCTTTTGGATACTTGGAATTGTGCCTCTCGACGTCAGCACACAACGAAGCGGACAAAGTAGATCTTCAACAAGCTCACGCCGCGGAAGTGGCGCATCACACAGAGTGTCCCCGGCACCATCTGAACCACGGGTCGGGGTCCGTGGGCTTTTGTCGACCACCATCTGATATCCCCAAAGTTTGAGTTCACAGTCTGGAAAGCGTGTTTGTGCAGTTCAGACAGGCAGGAGCACTTCTCCGGCAACTGGGCACACATGTCGCGCGCTTGGTATTCCCACTCAACAAAGATTCGCTTGCGAGTCGATACCAGGTCGGAGTGCGGCAGCGTGAGGGCTTCATTCAGGAGCTCGTCGATCGTTTCCATAGGTCACTGCCAGCCAGACGCTTCCATCCGTTGACCACGGCAGCTGCGGGTCTTGCGGCGAACATAGTCGCCCAACGCGTGACTTTGGCCAACGAGAAGGAACTGGAAAGACGCGACAGACAGTTCCTTCTCGTTGGCCAGGGTCACGCGCTGGGCGACTACCGCAGCTGCCGTGGTCAACGGCCCAAGCGTCGACTCGATCTCTGCCTTCGGTGGGCATCGGCCGTAACCCGAGGCTCTTCTTCCTCTTCTGCGGCACTCCTGCCTTCCGTCCACTCGCTCAAGGACGGGCTAAAAGAGCCTGCGGCGCACCTTAGGAGTCCTTGTGTCTCTCGAGCTGACTCTCCGTGAACTCCTTGCCATGCTCTGAGGAGTCCGCGCCGGTACCGACACCGCCCAGCACCTGGATCGGGAGGCTTCCATGGATGCCTCGCATCATGAAGCGCTGTTCTTTCTCCTCCTGTGTAGCTGACCCTGCCGGAACTAACTAACGGTCTCTTCCATGCAGCTCCTCCTGCATGGCTTCAGGCAGGCCCCAAAGAAAGTCTTGAACCTTTAGTGGCCCCGAGGTTCCTGCACAGATGCTTGCAAGTCGGTACTCAAGACGGCAGCTTTCCATAATCAGCTGGAACACGTCACATGCACATATTATGACAGCTGCATAAGACCTGCAACGCCACGGAAGCACGACCAGACTGAGGCAAGGCATCCGCGAACTCGGGCTCAGGCTGCATGCAAAAGGGGTTTGTCTGCCTCCATTCTAGAAACTTCCAAAGACCATGCGGCCTATGCTGACAAATCATGATGTTTTCCACCACCTCGTGCCCCGTTTTGGAGGAGAAAAACGAGCCATTATCATGAAGCCTCACACCTCCTGCGACTTCGGTGCTTACACACAACTCCGGATCTCGTGTCCGCGTCCGGATCCGGCCGGTTAGGATCTGGGCGGCGAGGGTTTGGGTCTTCCGGGTCCGGATACGGGCGTTCCGGTCGCTCAAAGCCGAAAAGAAGAAGCTGCAGCACCAGCGGCACCGGCAACGTCGCCGACAGCGGCGGTAGCAAAGGCAAACATCAGTGGCTGTGGCTGGCAAGCAATCTATCATCCACGCCTACCTCCAGCAGCAGCGGCGGCAAGAAAACCAAGAACAAGACCAAAAGCATCTTGCTTTGACATCGACATGAGCACAACTGCAAACCTGGAGTATAGCATCGAGGAAAGACGGAATACATGGACTGCTTACCTCTACATCGTACCATCACCAGGTTATGAAAGGGACGCTGCCCGAAGACAATTCAGTGCAGTGCTTGCTCGATCTTGTCCATGTCCTTGTCACTCACGGGAGCGGCCTGCTAGTGGGCGGTCTGCAAAGCCCATCGGAGGTTGGTGGTATATACTCTAGGCAGCGGCAATTTGGTGGTACGACCTCCATGCTCGCGACCTTCTGAGGGTATCCAAGGCCCACGCCATGTCTTCGATCTGCCCGACAATGTACGCTGCAGCCTTTTCCGCGCTGGCTGGGCTCTGGCTCTTGAGTTCGAGTTGTGGAAAATGCCTTCTCCATGCCGGACTTGATCTGAACAGGGTTGGCTCCCCCGACCTCTGCGCGCATGCGAAACATGGTCAGCACTCAGATGTGGGTGAAATGAGGCGGCGGCAAGCTGCTTCATTCCACTCTTCACCATGGCATGAGCCAAGATAGTGGCGGTCCTGGGGCCCTAAACCCTAAAACAAGAGGAAGCTACGAGACTGTATAAGAACTCTCATCTTTGCATGCTGGGTGACGTGGTACCATCTCCCGCCACGTCGTTCGTCTTCGCCGATGCCTGCCTGATCAGCTGCACGCCGGTGTTTTCCACCTGGTCCGCTGCCAGGATCACGGATCCCACGCTTGCAGACTTTGCAACTGCCTGATCCTCCAGCTCGATTTCTTTGGCGATGGTAACACCTACAGCTCAAGAAGCCAGGGCAAACATGTCGTCTCAAAGAAAGCCGAGACTGACACCATCGTTCACGATCTGCGGCGCAGAGAACTCACCCTGCACAAGTGCACGAGCAGGCCAAGCATGTCGCAGTACCAAATGATGGATCACGTCCGACGCAGGGCTCAAGACCAGACAGGCTCTTGCGCACCCCAAGCAACGATGCCTTGTCCAGGAGGACGTTCCGCCCTCTCGGTCCGAGAGTCACTGCCACTGTCTCTGCGAGCTTCTCGATGCCACGCATCAACTGGGCAAGTCAACCAGGCATGATGTGCGACATCACCAGTACAGTGTAGGCTGCCCCTAGCCCTAGCTCAACATCACCGAGGCTGGTGCATTTTTGCGGCCGTCCTCCCTGTACAAGATTTTTCTCGCCTGTCACATTGTCCAAACTTGATAATCCCTCTCGTTCAAATTCAAGGAGTCTGAAATTATTCACAAGGCATCATAATTCATCACTACAAGGGGGCACCTTGGCCTCTCGCACCGTCCTGGCTCGAGTCGAGATCCTGAAGCAGTCCGCAAGACAAAAAGGCCAGAAGCTCCCATTCCCCAAGTCCACAAGGTCATCACATGCATGAGACCCCAACAGTAGAGAGACCCAGACAGACTTATGAAACTGTCGCCACCGGCTCTACAAGAGTCGTGTTTAACGTTCCTGTCACCTGGAACCTTCAGCGGCTCGCCATGGGCATTGCCACATGCGAACCGGCATCCTGAATTGTAAAGTTTCAGAGTGTTCACGCCCGCTCTGGGTCTACACCATCCTTCAGCTTCGTCTTGGATGGAGGGAGCGTACCACCAGCAGCAAAATGCTGTCCAACAAGTTGCTGCTGCGGGATACTTCGACTAACAGATTCAATGTACGACCCGGACAATAGAGACACTGCAACACCAAACAAGCCAAGATCGACTATCATGCAGGACATGGTTCAACACGCATTGACAAGCTCCTAGACAACTCGCAGAGGTCCTCTGTCTGCGACTGGCAACTAGTACCTTGCACGGGGTATACAAACCCAACCCTGCTCCCTCGCAGACCCGACCGTGACGGAAGTCCCTTCTGAAGAAAAGCCGGGGTTCAGCTGCAGCACCGGCACTGAGCCCAGCGAGCCGGAAGCAGGCATTTGAGGATGCCTGCAAGCACGGAAGCGGGCGCGAGAGGAGCTGCCCGGCGTACCGAATCGCCTCACCGGCTGCCGGCGTGGCCGGCGCGGCCGCTGGCCTTTGCCTCGGTATGTCGGTGCAAGAAAGCCGGAGCAGGGCTGAGAGCTGAGCTCGGCCTCGAAGGTGCCACGTTCGCCACTTGGCCTAGGAACCGCTGCAGCTCCGCATCGCTCCGCAAGGCGCAAGAAGCAGAAGGGCGCCGACGAGTGGGAAGAACCTGCCACGCAACGCCGTAACGCACTCAGAATCTCTTGGGTTCGGTGCTCCGCCTCTGCCGGCACGGCGAACACTTGCGCCATGTCTGCAGCCATGGTTCCTGCCAGCGTGTGGAGAGCCGGCTCCCAGACGAGTGGATGTTTTTCAGACAGCAGGCCTTGAGCTTGGCAGTCGTCTGCCGATGCTGTGGGAGGTATCACAGCTTGAGGCAATGCATCAACCGCATGACACACGCACACACACACACACACACACACCCAAACACATGCATGCATGCGGGCACACGACCAGCAGCACCCTGATGCCGGCCCATCATGCCAAGTGCAAAAGGACAACCTACAGTCCTCTCATTTTCTTCTCATAAGATGCACGATGATGCACATAACAGGGACAGGTTGACCCCGCTGTCGCATCCAGAGTATGTACACGGGCCAAGCCGCAGCTATGCCTTCCTGATGAAGTGCCGAACGTCTTGCTCAAGCCGCATAGCCTCAACCAGCCTACCAGCCGGGAAGAGTTCTGGTATGCAGGTCGAGCCAGCGGACGAACCTCCTGCCGCAGGTATGCATGCACACCATCCACCTCGGAAGGCCCAAAGAGTCAGAGGACAGGGTTATGCTGTCTTCGGGCCGCGGGCCAAGTCTCGATAGCCTCGGGGAGTAAGCCCCGATTGGCTCAGATATTCCTGAGGTGAATACCATACCGGGCCGAGTGCTCACAACAGCCGTGTTCTTTTTCTTGCCAAGCCTGCGAGTAAGCCTCGAAGGCGCGAACCGGTTTGATCCCGAACTTCCTGGCCCGGGAGTTCTTTCGAGGCTAAGCTACCTACCCAGTTCCGCATTGGCTGCCAAAGTCTTGCCACGGCTCATTTAGGGTGTTTCTTCGAGGTCCCAATACTTTCGTAGCACGGCAGCTGGACATGCAAAAATGCCAGAGAGTGCGCCGTGGCTTCCAGCTTCGCCCCGCCTGGCTTCGCTCATGACATCCCACCAGCGCTGCCTTGATAACGGCAGCTAGAGCATGAAGGCGCACACAGTTGCATCGCTCTTCCGGGAATGGAGGAGTCCGAGCGGAGACAAAGCTGGGACACTTCCTGAGCCCTACGAGTAGCCTTGCTGTTGCAGAAAGCGCCAGCTTGGGGCAGTCACGTGATGTCCAGCATCCGGTCAAGGTAGAACTGGGCACGCGAAGCATGTTCTACAAGGCAGTGAGACCACAAAGGATTGCGCCGGCCTCCTTTCCGGCTTGGTCAAACTCTGCATATTTCTCCCCGAAGGACACAAGCTCGCGATGCTGGCAGGTGTACAAAAGACTTGAATCCACAGCTCGCAATGTGACGGAGGCTGGTGGAAGTGCTACATGGACGGCTGCCTCATCTACCAGCTTTGTATACTCCGCCTGTCGTGCACATGGGACGAAGAAGGTCATCCCGACTGATACAGCTGAAGCCCATGGCATGAGTGAAAGAACGTCTCAGTCTCTAAGACAAATCAAGACCTGCCTCCAGCATCTCTGTCCCAGCTACTCCTGTGAAGCTCTCTTCCTGCACAGGGTCAGGTGGACTCCAACTCGAGCGGCTACTATTGATATTGTCTCAGGCCGCAGCTGTGAACGGCAGCACTCGGGGCGCCCGAGGCTGACTGAGCAGGGAAACGGACAGGATGCTGGAAGCTAGAAGGACCGCTCAAGTTCATCTTTCTTCTTATTAGGCCCAAGAGCCAAAGACTCCGCGAGTGCTATTCCTAGTGGCTGGGCATGCTTGGATAGAAAAGCTGTCGTGCAAGGTTTGCTGAGTGAATTTCTTCCCCAAACAGTGTCATGTCTCAATATATACCGCCGCGATTGCGTCTCTGAATCCCCCAAGCTCATGGGGGCAAGCATTTTGGCCGTGAAAGCACTCGAAACCCCCCAGACAAGGCAGCGAAGCATTGTGGTAAGAGTGCTTGCAGGACGGTGAATCCCGTCGTCGTTATTTTGACAGGGCGCAATTGATTTTGAGGGTGGTGCTTTCAAAGAGGCGGGGAAGCAGTCTAATAATCACACCGGTACATGGGGCAACGATGATGGAGGTAGTGTTCTTGGTACAGTAGTGTCCGGGTAGTCTGCTGGTGGCTTCTTGTTGCTCATACGGCGCGCGTCGCCATGCGCTTGAGGCTTCTCGGCAGGGCCCTGCAGCGCGGGGATAGTCAAACGACTGGGCGCGAGCACGCGCGGGTTGCATGTGGGATGCGTGAGGTGCTCGATGCTCTGTAGGTCGAGCACTCCTAAAGTCTTACCAAGTCTTCACTGGTCACGGTCACACAGGGTGTCCCTGTAAGCTGAAGGAACATGTGAAAGACGTCTCTTGGCTTTGCTTTGAAATTTCGGGTTGGTTGTGTCCGTCCGCCTCACCATGCCGGGACCTTGGGGCAACAGCAACGGTTTTGTGGGTGGTCGAACTGGGGTTGGCGTTGACGACCTGGCCTTTGGCTGAGGCAGGAACCCGCGGGCGCTGATCTCGACAACGCCACAGGATCCACACCTGTCGCGTCATCATGAGTCCCGGGACAGGAGCTGTAGGCTCTACCTGTCCCGTCCTTCCGGGGGCGGCGGTACCATCATCCCCTCGGCCTCTGCTAAGATGCCTGCGCCCTTGCAAAAGCCAATGGCTGCTCATCAGCTGGCTTTCTGCAGCTTCCCATTGTCCCCTCAGCCTGCCAACTTGTCATCTTCTCCACCTCGCAATCTGCAACATGCTGTGATTGACAATCAGCATGGCACGCACTGTGATGGTGAGGGTTCTTGGAGAAGCTGCCAGCTTCTTGACCAGTTCTCATTCTCTGGTCCAGAAGCGAGGAATTGCCGAGGGTCAGGCCGTACGTGCTCCAGGGGCCCCCCTTTCTTGGGCCTGCAACTCCATGACAAAGTAGGCCTCCAGCACCTCCCCGCATCTTCGCCCAGCACTCGCAACATTCCTCGCGCCGGCTCTCATCTCCCACCTGGAAGTCAGCCGATGTCTCCATGTTGTCCAGGAGTGTCTTCAGCCGCTCTCCCTGCAAACTCACGCTTACATCGGAGCCTGATTGGCCACAGCTCGAATGTGCTGGCCTGTAGCTTCAGATCGTTTCCCACCTTATCACACCAATCTCGAAGGGCTGGGCGATTCAAGATTGAACTGAAAAAACCTGCCTTTCTTTGCTGTCGTGGATCAGGCCGCACCCCTGCACCATGTTCGACATCCAGGGAGCGGGAAAAGACTCGCTGAGGAGGCCTGCTGCGATCTGTTGGGCAAGAGTGGCAAAGTCACCTGGAGATCCGGATAGAGAGCTTTGTGCGTGCAGCGTGCCCCTGAAGCGATCTATTTCGCTCAAAGCCCTGCGGCGTCTCCAGTCACGGCTGACTTCAAGGCCAAGTTGCCTGCTTTGTCAGCAGCGATCATCATGACCATCGCCATCTCTTTCTCAAAGTTCCCCCGGACCTCAAGCTGCTTGACGCTAAGCACTGCTGCAGCAGTTCGTCAGCTGCAAGGCCAGCGAGCACAGGGGAGCGCCATGGTCGCTGAGCGCAGCGGACAAGCGGGGCCCACCGGAAGGACCTCGGCTGCACTTCGAAAATCTGGTGACTGGCTTAGGGCCCTGGTGCTTTCGTCGAAAAGACAGGGCCCGGCACGTGTTCCAAATCAGTCTGAATCACGTTTTCTGCTGCAGCCCGTGAGAAGCCTTGAAGGAATCTGACTCTGGCAGCCAGAAACCGAGGGCCTTCAGGCCTCGCTGCCCCCACAGACGGCTGCCCACATAGTTCTCAAGCCCAGCCTCAGTAATGCCAATGAGCAATGAGCTGCGATGAGCTGCGTGCGGTGCTCCCTTCTGCAGGCTTGGCACCCTCGCTCCGAGCAACAGCATCAAAGATAAACCTAAGCCCGGCTATGGCGTGGATCCATGCTCCAGGGCATCATCTTGACGGCTCGGGCTCACGCCGCATTTGGCACGAGATAGCTCTCGTCGCCCCATGGCAGAAGTCGCTACAGTGTGCTGTCCTAAGCCCTTCGCCGGTCTTGCGGCAATGTCACGCTTGCTGCAGGTCCAGGCTCTGGCTCACAACTCTGCTCTATGCTGTCAGGCTGCGAAGGCTTCAAGGTCAGAATGGAAGCACCGAGTTGGACAGCAAACCGCAGGCTCGGCCTAGGCTCCAAACCCACACTTTTAACTCAGTTTCCGATGCTCATCATCTTGGCTGTCGTCGAGTTGCTTCACTCTTTGCACCTCGTGCCTGACGAGTAACACAGGCAGAAGGACTGCCAACACCGCGCAATGGGGATTCATGGCTGTCGAGTCGCCAAAGGTCATCCTCCAGCTGTTTTAGGACGGAGTCGATGACCTGCAAGACTTCTGGGCATTTGGGCGATGTGGCACATTCCCACCTCGCCTCATCCGACGGAGCAGTCTGCAGCTTCTCACTCTCCTGTCCAGCTCCGAACTCGCTCACGCTGCCTGCAGCTGCTAGATACGCTCTTGGCGCGCCTGCGCAGGATTCCCGAAGGTCTCGTGCGTAACGTCTGGCAGCAAGTAAAAGAGGAGGAGGACAACGAAGCTCAAAAAGCAGGGAGGGATGACCGGACAGCTCTTTGGAGCCAAGAGCCTGCCAGAGTTGGAAACGACGGTCACGAAGTTTCGGCACATGCCGTGCGGAATCGGCCCTCAGCCGGCACTGTTCGAGACCCTGTAGAGCCTTCAGGCCAGTCTTTGGCAGCACCTTTCTGCCGCCTTTCGGAATGGCCTCTCAGCACTCGCAGAATGGTATGACTAGACTCTAAAGTTAACTAGCTCTTTAGAGTAGGGCCTTTAGTACTCGTACCCAGGTACTGAATGTATGTCAATGTCACAGAAGACCAAGGCAGAGAAAGAGGAGAGCTGTCCACGACACGGCCTGTGGATAACTTTGGCTTTCCCGGGGCTCCGCTGCCTGTCGGCACGGCTGTTCGTCACTTGGCCACTCGATTGGCATGAGGCCTTCTGAAGCACATGGGCGAGCTGCGCCTGTCCCGGGCGAGGCGGCGAGGCGAGGCGAGGCGAGGCAAGCTCTCCGAGCCTTGGGGATGTCTCCATCCACTCTTCCCAGGATTTGCCTGGAGAGACAGAAAGCCAGAGCCCTCAAGCCTCAGGGGCCTGACTTGAAAATCCTCTGCAGCCTAGGCTCCAGCGGTTTCCTGAGTGCTGCGTGCAGAACCACTCCTGCGGCACTCGGTCCTTGTGTCGCTTCTGGTCACATTGGCGAACCACTCCATCGATCCTCGCGGGGAGTGGTACTGGAGTGGTACTGGAGTGTGCTTCTTCAAGCCAAGTGCCGGGCTGGACTCTCGCGAAACAGCAGGAGTCATCAATGGCCTGCTGCACATGCATTTGCACAAATTGAATGAGCATTGAATGAGCATGAAAGAGAATCTCTCAAACCTGTCCACCCAATGCTACTGCAGCTTGTTGCCTCGGCAGCTGGGGAGAACCTCCAGCGCAACGCTTTCTCCTCGCCACAGGCGCGACACAAACAGTGTTTGCCGCCTCACAATGGTGCGCTCCTTATCCGGCCGCGGTTTCGGAGCAGGGAGTTGGACGGCCGGCACCTGAACGGCCTGAAAGGCTCCGTCATGCTCTGCAGTCCGAGGCCTCCGTTCTCGGCCTGGGCATCCTCTTGCACATCGATTGTTTCGACATCTTCTGCGGGACGCTTGAGGCCCATGCTCCGGAAGTTTCCAAACTTTGACTAGGGCGGAAACCTTTTCATGTTGGCTCCAAGTCCTGAACCAAAGTCGCTGGCATTAACCAAGTCAAGATTGTCCGGAATTCACGGCACCTGTTTCTGTGATATCTTGTGATATTGGTCAGTCTTGAGCCCAGTCGTGGAGCCACAAGCGAGCTACCTCCGAAAGCCTCTGCGGGAGCCACTCGAGCAGACTTGGAAAGCGCGTGTAACTAACCGGTCACAGATGTCTGCTCCAGGGTGAGACACTGGTCTGAGTGAAAAAATGTCTGCCACTGTTTCAACTTCTGTTCGACCTTCGTAAGAAGTGCTTGTAGGCGGTCGTTAGCGCACTGCTTTCTTGCTCCAAGGCTTGAATCGATAGACACTGGCAGCAGATGCTATTCAAGTTGGCGCTGTGTCAGTGCACACGGAAGCCTGATTCAGCAGGCATAACATTCAACCGAGGCTTTTCCAACCGGGACAGCAATCGCCTGCTCCCCCCACAGTGGTTGCCGGTAGCGAATCGGCTTCTGGAGCCTGCGAGAGCCACCTGGCCCGAGATCGCAGAATAAGATGCGACAATGCGACACCCATCAGAGAAAAAAATTCTGACCGCTCTGATTCTCTTCGGGGCGGCTACAAAAACACCACAACGCCTTCGTGGATTCAGAGACCCAGAAAGGTCACCGCCTCGCAGGGCATCCTCCTTGGTGCCAAAAAGCGAAGGCAGAAGGGCCATGCTGGGCTCGCCTGAGCCTCAAGCCTCTCGAAGCAGCATTTCCAGAAGCCTCGTAGTTCTGAATCATCACGGACACACGACGACATGGTTTGAAGGAATCCCGCTTCCTGACGTAATCGCATGGCCACCGCTGCCAGTGGCTAGAGGCTTGGGCAGAGAGCAGGCAAAAATTGCAGCAGTAGGGCGGCTGTGACTCTGAGGCCAGGGCCGCAGCTGGCGCTGGATCTCCAGGATCTGCATGTTGACACAGTGCCTCTTTTTTCACGACAGCTCGCGTTCTGGAACGCGGAACGGCAGCAGGAGGCAGACAGAGTGCAGACAGTCTCGGCCGCAGGCTGGAATTGGCTCGCCTCCAACCGGTGATCAGCTTGCAGCTCCTTCTGACCACGTCTCTTTTTGCAATGTGGCAGTGCTAGCTGCACTGATCGTGGTGATGGATTCGATTGCCGGAAATACTGGCAGGTTCAAGTCGAATCTCGACAACAAGCAGCTACAAGCCTCAAGCTTCTGGTCGAACTTCTGGACACAGACGGACATCTCGGTGTCCATGTTGCCCTTGTGCTCCCGCAGATCGACCACCTCCTTGGCACAAAGAGATCTTCGGCCTTCCTCTGCTCCGCGGAGCAGCCGGGCCTGCTGCACGTGAAGCAGCTCCTGCCCGCTCAGAGCGTCGCTGGCAAAGCGCAGTAGCGCAGTCGAGTCTGTCGGCTGACTGCGACTTGCGGCAGTCTGCGGTCCTGTTGCCCTCTGCTCACGACATCCATGAGCTGCGACATCTCCCGCGACAGGTGCTCGAAGTTCTGGTTCACCTCAGGGTGCCGATGCTGGGACCAGGCACTAAAGGACCCAGAGTCAACAGACCCATCCTGCCTGGTTGATTACACACATCAGGTTGGAACGCTCTTGCCCCATATCCGATGCTGTCTTCTGAAAGGCAGCCTGCGCCTCCGCTTGAGTGCCCGCCACAGCACTTTGCAGGATATTGCAGGCATGTGCGCCTTCTCGATTGCATCATCAGTTCGTTCCTGCACCTGCCGCTGCGACTTCTCTGCCTGCCAGCCAGGCTGCCCGGCCAAAGTCGAAGTCTGCTGACGATTCAGGAGCCCCGACCTCGAAGACGCGCTGCGACAGGCAGTCAAACCTCAGGGTTCCATGGCGAGCCGTGCACTGCGGCACTCTGCAGTCACTTCACACAGAATTCTTGGATTCACACTGACCGCGACGAATGCTCTCGCCCTCTTCGTGTCTCTGCTCCATGGCAGCCTGCAGAGCGGCATCCGAGAAGAGCTCAATCGAAGTGCAGCACGGCCTGGGCAGCCCGTGCAGCCCGGTGCAGGCCTGCTGTTTTCGCAATGATTCCATGGCCGCCTCGAGGGCCTCGCAGCGGCTGCCAGGCTCTGCCAGTCTGACTCTGCGGATCCCCTTTAAAGCAACCCTAAAACGCAACGCACAAAAAGGACAGCCCCCAACTGCAGGCCTCGATCCGCTCAATCACGGAGTGACTCTCCGTTCCTGCGCAGGACTCCCGGTGCAGGGACCAACTCGCCCACTTCTTCCATGTCTGGGTCCTTGCTTCGCGTGTCCGGCCCTTTGAGCGAAGCCGTTGACCTTACCGCTGTCGGCTATGTCCAACTATGGAGGACCCTGGTTCTACGTAAAGACGTCCTTCGAGCCCGACCGCCCGACTTTGTGGCAGAGGGGGTGCAAGTGCTGCACCAGGCTCCACATCGCCATCGCTTGAATCTTCAAGCTGGCTGCCTGCCTGGACATGCAGATGTCATCGTATGTCACTCAGCCAATGCAGCGTCTAGAGCATCCCAGCGGCGAGAGCTCCAACGCGTGGGTCTAGGAAGTCGCTGAAAGGGCCCAGTTTGTTGGATCCCTTAGTCCTTGCAACAGACATATAAGTCTACGTGGCTTCATGATTCGCCCTCAGCTTTCCTGCGCTCCACGGGCGAGGCCATCTGCACATCAGGCGCAAATCCGCAAGTCGGGCAGCAGGATATTGAGATAGGTGCAAGTAGCCGGTTGCAGTGAGCTACAAGGTGATGGGCTTATGTCGGGAGGTGGCATCTCTCTACGCATTTGCTGGCAAGGCCACTTCAAGGCACTTTGATCCCCGAGCCCAGCACGGAGAAGCGAAAAAACACTATTCTCTCGAACTCATCTCTCGAAACTGAAACACTGAGACGCCAACTTCGAGCACCCCTCCGTCACGCACCTACCCTTTGAAAAACTTCATCCAGCTCATCTGATCTACGGAGAATCTACGGTAGAGATCTCACATTCGCAAGTGTTTCCGAGTTGCGTGCTTGCAGCCAGTAGTGGCACAGCTGGGTTGAACTGTCTTGGACGTCTCACCCAGCAGGAAAGCGGCACTCTGCAACCTACATTAATTGAACAAGGCCCCACGCGGCCTCGCAAACATGTCGTGCAGAAACTGTGTGACACTGGGTGCTAAGCTCCTTTAAAAAAACAAGCTTTCTGATCCAGATGCCAGTTCCGAAGACGTGGTGCCTTGGGCGGCTGCTGCGCAGATACAGCTGCAGTATACAGTGACCGTGCTGCGGCACTGTCTCAGCCTCGCCCTCATCTCCTCGCGTAATCTCGCTGGTACTGGGTCACACCTGCTGGGTAGGAACCACAATCCACGTGTTGCCATATCATGTCGTCCTTGCATGTCCTTGCCTTCGAAGCGGCTGGCTTGGTCTGGGCACAGGGGCGGAGCCCTTGGAGGCCGGCAAAGAGCAAACATCTGCTCTGAATTCTCGTTCATCTGGTTGTAGCAATTGTAGCATGGTTGCAAGATGGTGGTTGCATGCCTCCAAAAAACGGCCGAGGGCCGAGCAGCTTCGCCTCGCGGGGTGGCGGCGCGGCTTGCATCTGACACCTCCGCCTCAGCCCACGCTTCACAGAAGCTACGGCTACGGGATGCTACGGCGACGGGGTCTACAGCGAGTGCAGGTTGAGCGCGTGGCAGCTGCTGTCGATCGAATCGGGAGAAGTCGCGATGCAGCACAGACTGGTGCTCCATGAATTTGGCTCCCGGGTCCACATGGACGGCCTAAGCGGCTGTCTTTCTGCGACCCTGACAACTTGCTCGTGGAATCTTGGGGCCATTGCCACGCTTGGCTTCCGGTTCTTGGCTGCCGCTGCGCTGGCCGCTTCGGGATCCTCGCAACACGCGGAGACTCGCCCGTGCGTCGGAGACAAGCTGAGGGCCCAACATAGACAGGGTAGGAGGAACGGGTCGTGGTGACCTTCGCTGGTAGCTGGAAGCGCTTCGACTGAGATCGAGACTGAGGTCCCGGCAGAGCTCAAGGGAGGCTTCGGGGCATTGGCTCCTGCGTTCACTTTGCACAGGCTTGCCGGCGTTGCCTTTGGCTCCGTGCCAGATTCCAAGCCGCTCCGACGCTTCCGGCCGCCGGCCTGCCCCGCGTGCCTGTTGCTTGTAGAGCTCACGCAGCTCATTGGTGGGGCCTTGTCGAAGAGAAAAGTCGCCCAGGCAGTCCACTGAGAAAGCCAAAGACGAAAGCTCCGTTCCGAGAGAGGTGCCCCAGGCATCCAGAGAGCGCTGGATGAAGTGTGAGTGGTATGTACACATCGAGCGCCTCATGCCACTGTCAACCTGAGCGTCGTAAGCCTCCGATCCCTCGAGCGGATTCCTCATCTTCGAGCTGAGGACAAGACCCCCGAAGGTTGATATCTGGTGGGCTGCAAGATAGACTGGAAGGACGAACTCCTCCGCACAAGCAAATATGGGCTGGGGTGCGCAATTTCCGTCACGACTTGACGGTCTTTGCTTTGCTTCGCCGGCTACCCAAAGCATGTGCCAGCTACACCATGCATCATGCTGCAGGACTCGTTCCACTGCATGAAGCGAAGACGCGAGAAATGATTTCGAGGGCTGCCAAGGCAAGGTTGGTGCAGTTGCATGAAAGCCACCCTGCCTTGCCATCATGGCATCTGCTGGCTCCTCGAAATGGTTCCTTGCGCACTCGAACTGTATAGGCAGCAGTCTGGGAAGAGACTTCCCACCTCAGCGTGTCGCCGGTCGTTGTCGAAAAGAATGCCTTGGCCTTTGCGGTCTCAGAAAGGCAAGGCACGAGTGCAAGCAACACCTGAGACGCCAGCACAAACTTCGGGAGAGAGTACACCATGCTGGAGGGAAGGCAAAGGACGAATTTTGTATGCCATTCCTCGCATAGGAGAGGAGGAACAGCGACGCATTCGCTCTAGATCAGCCAGCCATGCCGGCAGCTAAGACGGGGACTTCCATGAGGTGTCAAAGTCAGGGTTGGCGCCTAGATCCTAGATGCAGATGCCTAGATTTCCTGTGAGCGACTACTTGGCACCTTCTCTCATTGTAGGCAAATGTCTCATGTAAGGGCTTATCCAATCGGATGGGCTTCTGCCTTGAAGCGGGCTGTGGAATGGTGGCTGCATTATGATGCAATCAATCTCCAGGAACGAGAGCGGATGGGCTTGCAATGTGATACTGTCAAGCACTTTTGAGCTTCCCGTCTCAGCCAACTTTCGCATGTCCGGTCTCCGGTGGTTATCAGTCATTCTCCTCCGTCCTGAGGCGTGCATTCCTGTTCGTGACCTGGGTGCACTGAAGCTGCGCTTCCAATTCAGCTACAGGTGTACACTCAGCTATCCAAAGTGCGCAAGCAAATACATGTTCTGGGTCTCGCACGTAGAGGCGCAGCTGGTCTGCGCGCTCCACGATCTCCTTGCGCTTCTTGGCCCCAACGTTGTGCGCAATCTCCACTGCGTACTTCTCATTGTGCATGAGGAGCATCTCCAGATCAGCTGGGCAGCGCACCAAGAACTTGTAGAAGCCACTCTTCAGGCGAAATCTGGTCTTCTTGTCCGAGCCGTATCCGATCTTTGGGCAAAGAGTGGAGCCCTTGAAGCGTCTTCGCACTCGTCCATCGATGCCTCGTGGCTTGCGCCAGGCGGGGTTCATGCGCTTGAAGCGGTCCGCCTGGAAGCGTGGAAACTTCTTCGTGCGCTTCTTCACAATCTTGCGCTTGTCCGCTGGGGAAGGCATGCCTCATTGACACAGCAGCAACATCAAGAAGCTCAATGCACGTTCGGTGGCCACCGACCTCAACTCAGCCCGCAGCTTTCTGTGTTGCCGGAGCTCGGACAGGTAACGTCTGTGCTGGAGGGATCTACCTACA